CATTGTGGTAAATTGTGGTAATTGACATGAGACAAAGTATATGTGAACTGCTGTATCGAGAGTGATTTTGCTCTGTAAATCTTCACCCAAATCTAAATAAAATAAAATTTAAAAAAAAAAAAGTCCTTTAAAAGATTAAAAACACTTTTATTTATTTTGTAAACCTGCTCACTAATTGAAATATGAGAAGTGAGACCTTGGAGAATACCTGTACCTCTTTGGAAGATAGCAAATATATTTAAAAAATAATATAATTTTCTCTTCTTTTCCAGAGAAAGTACAAGCTGAGATCGATAGAGTAATTGGCCAATCACAGCAGCCCAGCACCGCTGACCGAGAGCACATGCCCTACACCAATGCCGTCATCCATGAGGTTCAGAGAATGGCCAACATCCTCCCCATGAATGTGCCCAGGGTAGTGACGTTTGATACCACTGTGGCTGGATACTACCTGCCAAAGGTAGTCAGGGTCTCTTGACCTCAGGTCTTTAAACCCATCTTTTTACATAGTAGGAATCTGAACTTGAAAGTTACACATATTTATATCCCAATGAGTCATTCAAATCGGGAGAGAGATATGTTATATCTGATATAGTAGTGTTTTTGTTCTCCAAGTATGAGCTTTAGTACAATAATATAAATGGGTTTTAATAAGTATTTGGAGGGGTTGGAAATGGGGCATTTTATCACCAAGTATGTTTGGGGAAAGACTTTTCTTTGCTGTGGGACTTCTCAGAGTTTTTAGTATGCTAATTTTCATTTTCAGCTTCCATGATGAAGACCCAGATTCAATTTCTGACTAGTGCACTTCAGTGCAGCCACTACCTATCTGTCACTGGAGGCATAAATGTTGCTATGATGCTGAGCAGGTTTCATGGAGCTTTCTGACTAGGAAAAACACTAGGAAGAAAGACCTGGTGATCTACTTCTGAAAATCAGCCAACAAAAACCCTATGGATCACAACAGTGCAATCCCATAGTGTATGGGTTCACCATGAGTTCAGGGCAACTTGATGGACAGCAGCTGACAACAACAAATGTGTGTTGGCCAACTTTGTTGAGAGAAAGCAGGCAGCAGTTGTCACTCACACTTTGCCTCAACCCTTTTTTTTTCTCTTGGTAGAATGTGTTGCAGGGCTCAGCACTTACTGTATATAATCCTGGGGTTGTGGAATGTTAAAGGCACATTTGAGAACACCTGTGTCAATATCTCATTAATACCAGTGTTTCTATCATAATATTCCCACAGGTATATTTCACTTACAGCTCCACTAATAGGGGACTTATTAACACAAAGACTCGACGGCAAACAACAACAACAAACAACATTAACACAAAAGTGAATTCAACCCAGATGTGTGCCTGAGCCAGGGTAGCAGACAGACCTGGTTTAAATCATGGCTCTACCACCTTCTCCTGTGTAACCATAGGCAAGTTAAATTAAAGCCTCTCAAAGCTTTAATTTCTTCATATGTAAATTGCATATTAAGCCTGTCTGCCAAGATCCACGAAGAGGTAGAAAGAAGTTATTTCTGTGGAGCAGTTTAACTATTGTTTATTGTAGAGAGTGCTTCAAAAGAGCAATTATTCTTTATGAATTCAATAAATAATCATTAACCACCTAATATGCTCAGATCTGGAGAAACAACCCTGAGCAAGAAAACAATCATGCAAATGATTATGCTTGATTGTTCCAAACCAGGAAAACTTGCTCTTGTTGTTGTTGTTGTTGTTGTGTGCTGTCAAGTTGACCCCTTCTTGGGTTTCCGAGGCAGTATTATTATGGAAGTAGATTGGCCAACCTTCCTTCCGAAGAGTGGCTGGTGGATTTGAACCACCAGCCTTCTGGTTAGCAGTCAAGTGCCTTAGGCACTACGCTACCAGAGCTAAAATGCAAATTATTTTGAGTAGGTAGTCGGGTCCGACTCGACGGCACATAACAACAAAGGTAGTAGGAGCAGGAGTGGTCAGAGAAGGCTTCCCAAAAGAAGTCATGTTTGGACTAAGAATTGAAGAATGATTAAGGATATTTTAGGGAGAAATTGGGGGAAAAAAGAGCATTTCTGGCAGGGGAACAGTATTTTAAAAAATAACCTTGAAATGAGTGAGTATGTGGCATATTTGAGAAATTGAAAGAAGACAACTGTCATCAGATTGTAGGCAGGAAGTGAAAGGTGACCCAGAGAAGGTCAGATGATGAGGTTTTACGTAAGTATGGGAAGAGACTGAAGGGTTTAAAGTTCAAGGTAAGAGTATGTGGTTAAGTGTGGTGTCATTAAATCATTTTCAGTACTCACTGGACTTTCAGGATACAGAACAGATTAAAAGGGAAAGAGAGGAATGGGACATACTTGTTACCTGCCATACAATGAGCCCTCAACTCATGGAGACTCAATGCACTACAGGATTGAACATGTGTGATCCACAGGATTTTCCTTGGCTGATTTATGGCCTTTCTTCATAGTCTTAGTCTGAAAGCTCTGCTAAAACCTCCTTAGCACTGACAGCTGGTAGCTGTGCTTGAGGTTTATAGGCTGGGAATTGAACCTTGGTCTCCCTTGTGGAAGGTGAGAATTCTAGCACTGAACCACCACTGCCCAGGGATTTAGTTAGGCTATTGTGGGAGTGTACGCGAGTTACATAGTAGCCTGGGCTAGGGTGGTGGCAGTGGATACAGAATCAAGGTGTCAGAATGAAGAGAAATTCTGGAAATGAAATCTGCCATTCTGGCTGATGGATTGGATAAAAGCAGAGTGAGCAGAAGGTATGCATGAAGGACAACTCCTAGGTTTCTTGCTTGTGTAACTGGATGAGTACAGATACCTTTCCTGGGCTACCTGATAATCTTCTTAAACCTACTGGTGCCTGGTGCTGGGGGTGCCCACGTACTAGACACAAGAGGAAAGCAAATAGGAGAAACAGAGATGCTGAGACATTGTTTACCTTTGAGGAGCTGCCTCAGTTATCCCCTCAGTAAGCAACTGGGTTGATTTTGGTACATTGCTGTCTGGCCAGCTGCTCCATTATTTCTTCCTGCTGCATACGTGCCGCTCCAAGTCCTGCATGGACAAGTCCTTCTAGAGGGAACATGGCATTGTCCACAGCCACTCTTTGGTCCACAGTCAATAGTAGGCAAAGTTCCCTGATAACATTCCCAGCAGGCAAATCCAATCCATCACAGTGAACTGTACCATGGAAAAGACCAGAGTCCTGGGGTGTTGGGCTCAGGAAACTATGTGTTAGGAGTGGTCAGGGAGTAGGAGGCAGGACTGTCACCCTCTGTGAATGTATGTTATATGGGTCAAGCCTTATCTGAGTCTTTGCTGCCTTCTCTAGGGGACCATGGTCCTGACCAATCTGACTTCACTGCACAAGGACCCTGCACAGTGGACCACCCCTGACACATTCAATCCAGAGCATTTTCTGGAGAATGGAGAGTTTAAGAAAAGGGAATCCTTTCTGCCCTTTTCAATAGGTGAGTTGTAATGAATAGGAGTGTGAAGATCCAGAGTCTCTCTATCAGCCTTGCACTTCCCTCCTCCCAGTAGTCTTTGGCTTTAGTTGGAATGTCTCCACATGGCTCCACCCAATATGACTCCATCTTGCTGAATGATAAAGTGAAAATTCCCTGGGCTGGGCATTGCTTTAATCTGCCCCTTACCTCCTGGGACCTCCATTGTCTCTGATGGAGATTTCAGCCTCACTTTGTTCTCCACCCTCCTAGATCTAGTACTAGCTACAGAAAGACCCAGACCCTGCCCCTTGCTCAAGAAGAAGGTTGGACATCTGCCATCTTCATAGAGTTTTCAAATATTCCCTATGCTTACAGCTCTGGTGGTGTAATGGTTAAGGCATTTGAGAATTAACTAGAAGGTTGGTGGTTTGAACCCACCAAGCATTCTGCGGAAGAAAGGTGTGGCAGTCTACTTCTGATTTACAGCCTTCAAACCTAATAGGGGTCACTATGAGTTGGAATTCACTCAGTGGCAGTAACTTTGGTTTGGTAATGCTGGCTGCGACTTTGATGAGAGAAGTCTTAATAGAGGTTCATGACTTTAAGAGGAAGAAGGAGTGCGTGATGCCTGGATAACTTTCCTTCACATGGCAGAAGCTTTTCCTTGCAGTTGCTCATATGTCTCCTGCTAAAAACATTTTCCATCTCTGTTAGCTGAAGCATAAGAAACCTCTAGACACACTGCCTTGCTGGGACTTTGCTATCCAGAATGGTATCTTACCCTCTTCATTATAGATTTCATTTACAAGGAATTGATCTCATTTAAATCTTCCCAGTAACCCAGTTATTAAGTTAGAAAGAAATTAGATTGATATTTCCTGTCTTAATATAAGGAAACAGAGAAAAGAGAGTTTTGTTTTATCCAAAATCATGTGCCCAAGAAATGTGTAGAAGAAAACCTAAGACTCAAGTTCTTATACTTGTAATCTAATGTTCTCACTGTCACAGCTGGAAAGTAACTCACCTTTCCACTTAAGGGTCCCTTCACTTTAAGGTCATTAAGTTTATTACACATATATTAGTAAACATCTTGCTGTATAACAAATAGCCCAAAATTCAGTGGCTAAAACAATAAACATGTATTATTGTTCACAAGTCTACACAGGTCAAGTGTGAAGCTCTGCTGTTCTTGGTTGGGCTGTCTTACTTGTTTGGAAGGTCAGCTGGCTGAAGGCTGATCGAGGAAGGCCTCAGCTAGGACAGCAGGTTATTGCCACCTTCTCTCTCATCATTTAATAAGTTAGCCTGGACTTGCTCTCATTGAGGCAGCAGAATCTCAAGACAGAGAATGGACATGCACAAGGCCTCTTAAGGTCTAGGTTTGAAACTGGCACAGTATCACTTGCATAGCATTCTGTTGGTCAATGCAAGTCATAAGTCCAGCCTCAACTAAAGGAAAGGTGCCTTAGTTTCCTAGTGTTGCTGAACATAAATGCCAGAAAAGAAATTTATTATCTCACAGTTCTGGAGGTTAGAAGTCCAAATTCCCAGCATTGCTTTTAAGGGAAGTTTCTCACTCTTTTGGCTCTGAAGGAAGAACCTTTCTCAACTTCTTTCTCTGGCATTCCTTGGTGTTTGGTGATCTTCCCTTGGCATCTGTGTGCCTCCATGTGCCCTCTTGTCTTTGTGTCTGTGTTGCTCCTTATAAATTAGAAGTGAGTAGGTTTAGATCATGCCCTACACGAATAGGCCTCATTAACATAACAAAGAAAGTCCTAGTGAGAAAGGATTACCTACAAATAGTAGAAGGAGTTCTGGTAGCATAATGCCTAAGGCACTTGACTGCTAACCAGAAGGCTGGAGGTTCAAACCCACCGACCACTCCTCTGAAAGAAGGTTGGGCAATCTACTTCCATACTGATACTGCCTCAGTAACCCAAGGAGGGATCACCATGAGTTGGGTCCAACTTGATGGCACATAACAACCACAAGAACACAAATAGTAGATAATTTCATTGTCATGCAGTCAGTTCCAATTTATGGTGATCCCATGTGTTTCAAAGTAGAACTTTACTCCATAGGGTTCAATGGCTATAATCTTACAGAAGTAGATAACCAGGAATTTCTTCTGCTGTGCTGCTGGGTGGATTTGAACTGGAACCTTTCAATTATGAGCCAAATGTAAACTATATGCACCACATAGGGACCTTCTACACAGGCAACGGGTTAGGATTTTGTTGTTGTTGTTAGATGTTGTTGAGTCAGTTTCGACTCATATTTTAGGAGAACACAATTCAGTCTATAACAGGAGGGGAAAATGACTATAATATTTGATGGGAAGAGCTATTAAGTCACCCTTGGATAAAGAAGTAGGGAATATAGGTTTTTTTTTTTTTTTTTGCAATTTCTTGGTCTGTCCAATGTCTAACTGACAAGAAATTCAGAGACAGTAAGTGATTGTCATGGGAACTCCCATAAAAAGTATAACAGAATGAGGATCAGTTAAATGAAACAGAAATAGAAAATCTAGGGGATTAACAAAATGTCAACATAACTGACTGTTGTTTTCCAACATACTTCTTAGATTTAGCAGACAGTTGCTTTCCCTCACTCATGTTCTGTTGTTGTTGTTATGTGCCGTCAAGTCAGACCCAAC